ATGGTACACTTGGCCCCTTGGGCCATCACGCATTGAAATGCGCGATTGGTGGTCCGAGAACCAAGAACTATGTCCCTTTGAGTCATAAACATGATAAGGGATGTGTTGGTGCACACATTTGCCTGGGATGCATTGCCATGCCTTGTTTTACTCTCTGCTGCTGTCAAAACAGGATTCTGCAGGAAGCTTTGGCCGGCCGGCCATCTTTATTGCCGACCGACCAAGTGTGGATGGCCGAGAGCTTAATCAATGGCCGGTGATTATTCCCCATGGCCGGTGACCATTCCTTATGGCCGGTGGTGTTCCCCAATGTCCAGAAAGTGTTCCTTGGGAATTGTGCCATTTTCAGAGGAGCAGAGCAGGAAAAACAGAGGCAACTTGTACATGACAATGGACTCCCGAGCGAAACCGAGTGCGCATGCATTGGACCCTCTTCCCGAGGACTTTTATCGCTTTCTTTACTTAATTGATTTGTTAATTAATTAGGTGATCTGTAATATTTAATTAGCTTGTAGGTTAATTAATTCTTTTGGTCCCTCTGAGCGAGGGCGAATTTGTAATAAGTGTGGGTGCGTGTGTGCATGTCTTCCAACCTCCACTTCTTTCTCCCTTTTACTTACCTGCTTTTGATGGTTAGTATTAGGGCACGTTTAATTTAGCATACCTTATGCTATGCATGCGTGTATCATTCATCAGCCTTGCATGCACTGGGCTTGGCGCATCATACTAATTGCATAGTATCTCAAATCTAACTCGAATACATGTTATCTGTGTATTTCACATGCCATCCATAGATTAGCCGAGCCTATTCTAGCGACATTCTGTATGTGATGCATTAGTCATTTTAACATGAACTAGGATCATGCATGATTACTAACTAGTTTTTTGTTTTGGCTCGGGGTACTCGGTAAGTTCTTATGCTTTAGCATCTTTGCATGCGTGTGAGTGTTGCCACGATAGCATGATTACCATGAGGCTAGCTGCTTATGTGATATGAACTGCCTGAATGCCTGTGGGTGGAGGTTGGATTGCTTGAGTTGGAATATCTCATCAAAATTCGTGTTTTAGCCTACTCGCGAGTAGCAAATTTCAAAACATTTTCCAAACAAACGGATATGCGATGCTTTGTTCCAAATTAGGCGATCTAGTCTATACTTGTTTTGCTGTGCGCATCACATAGTAATTCTAGCTAATTAAACCGAAATAGGAACACATAATGCTTTCAAAACAAGATATCACGGTTAGTAGAGGCCGATCTTTGATCGGGCGAGAGGGGATGCTCATAGCTGACCTTCCCCAATCGTACCCAAGTTCCCAAGCCGAGACCACTTTGGTGATGACGGACACGTGGCATTTGGCACCAAGTCAGGGTTTCCTAAATTTCTCAAAATAAAATATTTAGGTGGCGACTCTGTATCTGGCAAAGCAGTCCATGTTTGGCACTTCTTTTCTAAAAATCTGTTTTTTTTCAAAACGATTTGTCGGATTTGGATTCTTTGGTTCAGATTAAGAACTGTGACAATTTGAGAGTCCGAACTGTAGTGAGCCCAATATGAACAGAACGGGATTCATCCTCCCGGGACGTTCGGGGACGTCTACAGATATGCATCTGTATAATGCCACATATAATTGCCCATGGCTAAACACTGGTATGCGCAACAACAAATTTCACAGATTGTCCTTGAGATTTATTAATGGTCAAGACATATGGCAATCGGACTGGAAATTAGCGTATTGTCATTTGGAAAAGCATTTCTGAAGAAGATAGTGTCAAAAATATCCTTGATATGAATGCCAAATTGCCAAATTTTTCTCCAGTTAAAATTTAAGCTTCAATTATACGAGTATCGCGCCTAATAACCATCAATCTTGTACCATTTTGGCGCTGTTTGGGAAGTTGGGTTTTTGGTTTTTTTGTTTTTTTTTCCACTAAAAGACAAATTGGTTACAAAACCCAAAAAAAAACAAATCTAAACAAAATATCACATCAAACCCCATAATCATTTCACTTTTTCTCTTACAAACATCACATCCAACCACAAAAAAAACCCAACTATCTTTCCAAACACAAAAAAAAATTTCTCCAATAATATCCTACAACTAAAAAACCTACAAAAAAAACTCACTTCCCAAACACCCACTATATAGTCCATCTTTCGATGGAATATTTCTTATAACAATATTATTGGACAATTCACTTGCAACCCTAACTTAAAAGTTGGTAGCCCAGAAGATAGGGATGTAAGAAAAATCGAAAAAACCGACTAAATCGATTGAACCGGATCGAACCGGTCATATTTGGTTGGTTTTTTAATATGAATCGGTTTGTTCGGTTTTGAAAATTAATTTTTCGGCCGTTGCCGTAACCGGTCGCCCAGCACAAATTTGATGAAACGGATTTGATGTTGAACCGTTGGAGCGCGAAGTATCAAATTAAAGAAATGACCCATTTTTGACTCAGATTTGGTGAAACATTTGATACACCGTTGGAGATGCTCTTATGGTATGATTGTTTTAAGTTTTGATTTTATTTTGATGTCAAGACTTTGGTTCTGAGATTATACTTTATTTCTAATTTTAATTCAGTAAAAGTTTCAAGCCTTTGTATTTATTATTTTTTTTATTTGTATTTTTGTGAATGGTTAGATTAGATATGGTTAAAATTGTGTACAAATGGCTAATTTAATATTTTTATATAAATTATTTATTATATTACAAATTTAAGAAATGACTTAATTTTGAAAGTACTTAAACTGATTAAACCGCATTGAACCGAACCGTTTGAATCGGTGCGATTTGGTGCGGTTTGATAAAAAATTTGGTCTGTATTGGTTTTCAATATAATAAAACCAACATTATCGGTTTGGTGCAAAATTTCACCTAAACACCGACCGTCTCAAACCGATTACACCCCTACCAGAAGGATCCAATGAATTTAAATATTTATTAGGATATCTATTTGTAATGGTAGGATCAATTTTATTATCTTCAAGCATTTTATTTGTTGCAATATAAGCATATAACTCCTTGGAAAGATACTCAACGTAGTAGTATTAATGTCACTGACATCATTGTTACGCACAGATAGAATTGTGCGTTCAGTTAAAAATGTTGGGTCGATGTCTCTATCATATTCAATTGTGGGTAAACTGTAGAGAATAATTCATTCAAATCTTGACATTTGTATTTATTATCTTCAAGCATTTTATTTGTTGCAATATAAGTATATAACTCCTTAGAAAGATACTCAACGTAGTAGTATTAATGTCACTGACATCATTGTTACGCACAGATAGAATTGTGCGTTCAGTTAAAAATGTTGGGGTCGATGTCTCTATCATATTCAATTGTGGGTAAACTGTAGAGAATAATTCATTCAAATCTTGACATTTGTGTATTATTGATGAAAGGTTGACGATTTCTTGAGGATTGGTCTCAATCTAAAAAAAGTGAAATCAATTAAAAAAAATAAGAGTATAAATACAATTTATTAATTTAAAATAATTTATATAATAAAGAAAAAGGGTAAAGTAGTGTTAAAACAAATGGATTAATTTTTTTCAGACAATTTGTCCTACTTATATATTTATATGTAAGAAAATTATTTATCCCTAAATTGTTAAGATATTATTAACAAAGTTTAATTTTTATTTTTGAGTCATTAAATTTCTAGTCGATACATATTTTTTTTAAAAAATGCAGGTTAGTCTCACATTATTAAAAAAAATAAAAAATAAATATAGAAATAAAAAAAATCTAATCGCCTCACAATAAATTAAAATTAATTAATAAGGAATGAAAGATCAATAAATTATTTGAGAATAATAGACAATTCAAACAATTTCTTATTTCTTATACCTAAAAATAAAATTTATCTTTACTTGAACGGAAAAATTATTTTAGAATACTAAAATACTCAATTAATTTGTTGTATGATACTTAAAATATAATTCTCCATCTTTATTTTTCCCATTTAAATTATTTTTATTAACTTGCGTTTTTTTAAATATCATCGACTAGAAGTTATTAGACTCAAAGATAAAAATTAAAATTTGAGAATAATATATGATTGAGAAAAAATAAAATAATAATTTTTTACATATGAATAAATAAGTAATGCAAATTGTCGAAAAAAAATAAAACTCTTTATTTTAACTTAAAAAAAATTCAAATAACAAATGCATTATTTAAAATAATAAATTTTAAGATATTTATGTGGTGTGGAATAAGTCTTATATTAAATTATTAGGATATTATCTAACATTAATTTTAGAAAGATTATTTATTTTCAAGTATTTTATCAATAAAAATTAAGGTTTACATTAAATAATATAATATTGTCTTAACAGTTTAAAAAATTTATTTAATATTGCATGAAATTTAAGAATTTTATTAAATAATGGTAAAATATGTATGGATTTTTTTATAATATATATGCAAAACGTCAAGGGAGGTGAATGAAACTTCTCATTCAAATAGATAAAGTAATTCATTGACAATTTTGTTATTTTTGGTATGATATCAGTATAATATCAGTAAATTCAGCTAGATAGCCTAATAATGGAAAAATCTTGATAATAATTTCAAAAATAAAGAAGGTTAATTTAATTATTGATATCATATAAAAAGTCTATGTAATTGTCAAAAACTTCAATAAGGTAAGTGTAATTTACCCAAATTATTTTGATATGAATTTCTATAAAATAAAATAAAATAAAAAATACATGACATGACGTTTTTGTAAATTCAAGAGTGGATTTTATAAAGTGAATGATCAAAAATTCAACTTGATAAAAATTTAGTAAAACATGCCAAATTTGTCACAAATAGATAGCAACATTACTAGATTTTATATTAATCGTGACAAATTTTAATAATATGAGAAATGAGATAGTATCAGAATTGTTCTCATATAGGTCTCTTGTTTCAATTCAGGTGGGGCATTTTTTAAGCAAAAATGCTATATAAACTATCAAAACAAAATATATAATTCATAAATGTGACATACAATAATTAAATTTTAATATTCAAAACAAATAATATAATGAAAGACAATTCAAGTGTGTCAAACAACGGAAAATTTGTTAGTCATGCTTACTCTTGCTCAAGAAAAACTTCTCATATAACCATTTAAACCTGTTGATAACCTTGCAGATCAAGACCTCTCTAAACCTGGTTTCTCATATGTTCTTATTCTTGTCTTTGCTAGACACTTGAAAAGAGTAAAAAAGATGAAAATAGAAGATAGAGAAGAAGTCATTCGACTTCATCTAAATTTCCAAAAAGTTCTTTCCAATGGGATGCCGCTTCTTCTGGTGTCCGAAAAGACCAGATGTGGGGCTTTGCTTTCTCTCGAGTTTCCAGGATTTCCTGCATTAAGAGGCGATCAGCTTGTTATTTGCAGCAGAACACGGAAAATTGCACATGACATCATAGTTTCAAATAGCAGTATCAGAATAAGCAACGGTATTGGGAGTATCGACTGATATGTATTGGGAATTGGGTGTTGTGGTCGTGATTTTTTAAAATCACCAACCTCAAAAATATTTGAGTTGAGTTGGCTATGAACCTGCCATATTGACTATGAATCGGCTATGAACTGGCAGTATTGACTACAAATTGGCTATGAATTGACTATGAACTGATACATATTGGGAACCGGCCAATACACAAGTGATTTTCAATTCCAACCAATATATACTATGGTGTATCAGAAGGACAAGAACTTGATACGCATCACCCAACACAGTTGGGCGACGATATTCAAAACCATGCATGGCATTGCTTGAATTTTAAAGGCATAATTGTCTCCCTCCATCACGACCTAAAATGTGGGCATGATCTCGAGCTATGATGAAGAAATACAAGTATATGATAATAGAAAAAATATTACAATGGTAATTCCAGCTTCTAGACAGACAAGAAACTTCGGTACAAGTAATGCTCAACCACTTCAGTACAGACATCAGGCAGAAGTCAGAAGATTCTCCAAACTTCTGCCTTTAAAAAGTTATCTATCTCCAAATTTCCCTTCCTAATGACTATGTTGACATTACTAGAGAAAAAATTGTCTGCATCAACTTCTTTATATATTGACGTCAAAGCATTCAACAACACCAAAAGGTCTTTATTTTATGTATTTTCTTTGTGATGAAAGCATGATGATCCTTAAGTACCCATCTCCGCTACAAAAAGCCAAGAATCCAAACATCAGTACCAATCACTGATTAGGGCAGTACCTATGAAGCATAGCACAGATACTTCATATTAGTCATCGTAGCCGTGTCCACAACGTGTTGGACACCGACATGCCTCGGACACGCCGGGACACATGTTGGCCATGCCACTGCCTACTAGATTCTCATTTGCAAGTCAGTATTTCTATGCACATCCATGAGGGTAGTAATCACAATTTCACATGTGTAAGGGTGAACACACATCCAAGGGACAGAAACACTGAGAAAAGGAGCTGAGAGCTTGACTACTAAAAGTCAAGAACTGAATTGTTATAACACTTATTATGGGGAAAAAAATATTTTGTCAACAACAATAACGGCTCCACTCACATGATATCAATATATATAATATTGTTAAAAATGTGTACGTAATTACCTTGATTCTTAACCCAGAAATAGCAAAATTGTGGTTTGACGTTAACTCTAGAAGGTTGTTCAAATTGGAATCACCTTGAGCAAATAACTATTTGCACAGGTTTTTATTGTATCTCTCCTTTTCTTTTTCTTACCACTGTCTAGAAAACCGAAATTGGATCAACCAATATAAAGCCATTTTTTCCACTTGATAAAGAGGATCTTACATCCTACAATATGCAAGAAATTTCATTTAATTTGGTGTTACACAAGAACAGGGAAAAAAAAGTCCAAACAGACTTTAGTTAATAATAAATGAATAATCATGGTCACCCTATCCTGTTTTAGGAAGTGACCATAATCAGGGTTTGTAATCTATTACTCTAGTATCACATACAAGAATTTCATTGTTGCGGGGGAAGGGTGACACTAACATGGCATATGAGAGGGAGTAGTGCAGTTGGGGGTTCGAATCTTATCTTTATCAAAAAACTTAACAAATACTTCTTAAAAAATATGAACAAAGTAGACGTATATTAAAAGAAAAATGTTCTTTTAAAGAAAAAAGTAAATAAAGGATCATAGCAACTTTGAATTTAGACCGGTAGAACATGTAATAGGTCATCAAGAAGGTATCTGACAGTGGACCGTCAATTATCCCAAAGTATAAGTAAAAACCAAAAAACAGCTTCAGGCCTTAATCTATGCGAACACTGATTTTAGAACCCATGTACTGAGGTCGTTACTAGCATTCCTACTAGTAATTTAGGTTTAAGGACATACCTCCACTACAGAAGTTCGTTTTGTTTTCAGAGTTAAGCAATCAACAAGAGCATTCCATTTTCCGGAACAGTTATCAAGGCCACCAAGCCCATAATACTGCTGCATCTGATGGAGTGGAGCTGAGAAAACATGAATGCCACTAGTTTGACAATCCAAAAGACAAAAACAAAAACAATAATAAAAACAAAAAACCACTAAAGAGGCTGAAGAAGGACAAAGTGAATGCCTAGGGAAATTGCAGTAGAGTAGACAATGCATGATCTGCATAAAACTGTCATCAAACTTAAATGGACCCTTGGTGCCTGACAATAGTCTTCAAGGAGTATCTTGGGTTTATGGGGAAAAAGTTAATTAAGCATCTCGTGGCTATCTTTTTATCTTTATTTCCCTTATCTTTCTGGGAGTTTGTAAGGGACAATCCTCAATGGATGCTGTTGAAATAATTCGGTATTATAATTTTCTCAAGATTTCACATGAATACGGTATCGATAACTAAGTGATCAAAAAAAATTACTTTTGTAGAACTTATCATTCTTAGGTCTACAAAGTTCTATAACAATCTAGAACTTCCACAATCCCTTCTATTGTTCTATGTACAATAATGGATCTAGGAGGCATCTGTAACAATTCTCTTTCACCTAATTATTCAAGGCAAGAGGTGCACCGAGGAGTAAAGGTCTCCAGGGGCTGTTGTTGCTCTATCCAACTTGTTTAGACCTTCATGGCTACTTGGCAATGATGAGTCCCGTTCTATTTTGCATTTTTTTATATTTACAATTTCCAATAATGTTGTATAAACTATTGCTCTAATCAATCAATTAATACCATTGTTGTTCAACATCTGAATTGAATGTTTGGAGCTAAAATGGTTGTAAGAGTAAATTAGAAGCCAAAAAGCGGGGGAGAACTCATCATTATGAGTATTTGTAACTCTAATTATGATGGCTACATAAAAGCAGTATTTGTGCACCGCAACCACTAACGAATAAAAATTTGATCGAGTACGTATCAAATGGAGGCCAAAAAATCAATTTTTTGAGAACTGAAGCAAAAACTAATAATTGTTTCACTCAAATTGTTCCAAATGTATGATCTATAGTTGGCTCTGTATATTGGGGGGCATATTTTTGTTCAAGAGAAGCAGGTTATAGTGCCAGTGAATTCAAGTTTCTAACGTTCCTTTCATGCAAATGAATTCAATTCATGTTAATAGCTACAGTAAAATTGAAGAGAAAAAAAATTTACCTTTAAATCATGAACAAACAAATGTATGCCAGAACCCTAATCATCATTTTGCATATCGAGTAGAATGATTTACAATACAGTGAAATTGAAAAATTAAAATAAAAAAACACATCTTTAAGATTAAAATGAAGATCAGCTTTTTGAAATGATTTTCGTTTTGGAGATCAATTGGATAGAAAAATATCGATTACCAGGTACATGTAGAAAACAATAAAAGGAACTCAAATTGAAAGAGAGACATAAGGAAGGCGTACAATAGCAAAACCAGAGAGCGTCAAAGCAGGTGGTGCAGGATAAGCTCCGAGGAACTGATGCTTCTTCTTCCTTCTCTGAAATCATCTCTCCCACTCTCTCTCACTTGCTACTCCATTCAATTGTTGATAATTTTACGTGGAATACTAGTTCCAAAAAAATGTGTATAAATTAATAAATAAATTATTTTTAACGTAAATTATAGTAAAATTCTTAAATTATGACACATTTACATTTTATTCTCTAACTAGCGAATTGGCCGTGTGCAAGCCACACTAACTAATGCCTATTATTGGCTTTTATTGGTGCCCATTACAAAAAAAATTTGATTTACAAAAATCAAGAAAGATAGATGTATAGATATCAGCCTACTTGAAAAATGTAAATAGCCAAGTGTCATTAAAAGCTAAGCACTTAGAAAATAAATCATACAAATAAGCCAAAACTACTTGAAAAGAATATTAAAACAAAACTTATAAAAAGTAATACTTATTGATAATCTATAAATAAAAGTGTGGTGGATTTATCAAAACCAACAATAGAGGCCCTCACAAAAAGATGCAGTGAAATATATTTAAAAAACTTCATCCATTACGTACAGTATAATTATTGTAGAAAACAATTCAAAATAAAAGAATATAAATGTAATCTCCAAATCCACATAACACAACTTATAAACAATGGTAAAGACAATGTGACCATGTACTATGGAAAATAATCAACTCATTCAAATGCACACCATTTTTTCATCTGCAAACTTTCCATTCTTCAAGCTTTCTTATCTAATAAGTTTAGTCCCCACTTCTTTCCAAAGGCAAAAACTGCAGAAAGTAAATTAAATTCCTAGACAATATAAAAGGGTTAGACATAGGGATTGAAAATCTTCCATTCCATTACAACTATGTAATGGAGATGATCTAAATTTCACACCCAGTATAATTTAACAATCAACAGGATTAGTAATTTCAAAACTAATGGTTAATCAGTAAACAGAAAATGAACACTGTTAGTTAAGCAGAAAACAAAGTAACGAGGTGAATGAAAAACTTTGAATCAAAAGGTGTTAGTAGGAAAGGAGGCTCATAAATTCCCAAGCCATGAATTTACCCGTTCATTCTTACCCAATTTATGTACTAAGAACCATTCCCTTAATAACCTAGTGCTCAAACAAATTCAACAAAATAGTGACATGAATGTTGACAATCTTTGCAAATACATAGAATCTTCAAAGAATACTCTGCATTCTTTTAGCCACATTCACAAAATTTTGTATGGTTGCCATGTAATTGTGTGGCTCAACCAATTTACAAAAAAGAAAAGAAAAAATAAGTGTTTTCAATTAAAGATGCACCCAATCTTTGTCTATCATCATAATATCACAATGTAGCTTGTTTCTGGTATTACCAATTTATAAAAATAATATCCAAATCAAAAAGTTTTATGGAAATATATTCAATCTCTTTTAATGCTACCAATGTCAATGTGATTATTGATTTCACATTTTGGACACAACTAAGTAGTAAATGAGCTAAATGGTTTCTGAAAACTAACATTGATATAGACATATTAGACGCATCAACATTTTTATTTTAATAATAATAATAATCATGAAATTATTAAAGCATATTCAAGGGTGGGAAGCAGACACTATCTCACTTCAAGTCAATTGTTACACTTCAAAATTCTAATACATAAACTTCATAATAACTTATCATGATTAAATAAAACTCTTAAAATCTAGCAATTAAAGAATTGATAATGAGGGTCTCCGAGTTTAACAAAATCTAATTGCCAAGGTCAATAGGATGTGTACATCAAAATGAAATAAAACAATAAATAATGAAATTTCTAAGTAGAGCCTACACAATTGTCAGAGAAATAGATGCACAATTCCAATGGCATTTAGATCATCAAGTGTTGCCATAATATTTTATCAAACTACTTTGCAAAATTCTTCACAAAAATTCAGCATCACCACCATGTTTTCATATGCATATCCAAGAATTTTTTACAGAAATTATTTACTGGTTATAGCTTTAAAAATTAGAGACCTAATGAATCACTTTTTTTTGTAACCTAGGAAAAATATTGACAGTGGCATGTGGTTCACAATAATCAGCTACTTTCAATAATATTAAAACAAATTGGAGGAAATCAAACGCAATTTCACAAAAATTCAGCATCACCGCCACCATGTTTTCATATGCATATCCAAGAATTTTTTACAGAAATTATTTACTGGTTATAGCTTTAAAAATTGCAGACCTAATGAATCACTTATTTTGTAACCTAGGAAAAATATTGGCAGTGGTCCACAAATTGTCATCCCATTGACATTTAATGTTTAGGTATCTGTAACCTAGGAAAAATATTGGCAGTGGTCCACAAATTGTCATCCCATTGACATTTAATGTTTAGGTATCAAACAAATTATCGTTAAAAATAAAAAAATAAAATAAAAAACACTTCATAAAGAGCAACAGATCACGTCATATGCAAGCAATAAAGTACGAATGTTAATCATAATGGAAGCAAGCATTATTATCATGACTGCACAATTACTTTTTCGTGGGTTTTTCAGTTTCAAAAAAGTCATTACTTCAATATTATGCAAGCCAAAATCACTCTAAGTTTGTGTGGTAAAGTTTTTTAAAGTACATGAATCAATCAAATTTGGCAAAATTTGCATAAAATTTATTACCTTTCTTCGCTTGAAGATGAATAGTAATTCCTGCAATGACAATAACTATGAATCCAACTATGAAGAAAAATAATAATAATAACAACAAATTTGAATAGGCTTTAACAGATAACTTTTCATTTGAAGCATGGAAATGCATTTTTTTTGTTTCCAAATTATGTTGTATGTTAGTTGGATCATTAGTGGAGATATTTTTTTCTTTTCCCAAACCAAGTCAAGAATTGTCTAATTCACATGAAAGTGAGCTTCAAATAGAGATTCCAAATCCAATGTTTAGTAATTACCCCTAAGTATAGGGCAAAACAAAACAACACACCAACAAAAGGAGTAACACGAGAGTTCTTCAACTAAACATGTATGTATATGTATATGATATATATCACAAGAGGCGAGACCAAAATATTAATGTCAGGGTTGTCCCACCTTTCAAACCTTAGCTGCTGGAGCAGCATTACTAGTAAGCCAAAAGCTCTCTCAAGCTCCCTCCTTCCCAGTCTGGCAAATACAATTGCTTTTTCTCCAACCTGTCACAGTCCACACACGGTGGTTTCTTTCCACCAAGGTAAAAAAAAGAGGTCCATCTAATGCTTTATTTAATTTTCTTTTTATTCACCCACTATATCTTATTTCTTATTTTTCCAAAATGTACAAGATAATCCATTAAAAGACGGGGAAAAAAAAACATTTTTATGTCTTTTTTCTTATGAGATTTTTCAAGATTTCCAGCAGTGGCTTGGTAGGTGTCTTGATCCATATCATAGAAAATTATATATATAGTTAATAGGGAAATCATATATAGGTAGAAAAATTATAGAATTATTGGTTGGAAAGAGACATTGGTCATATATATGGTCCCCAAGGTTAATTTTGTCAAGGCCAATGGGATGGGGTGGGGAGCTTCTATTTGCACATCCCCATTCCCCTTTTTACACACTTAATAAAAATTATTTTTATTATAATTTTATTTTCAAGTGAAATTACTATTATGGACATTAAATAAACATATTCGGAAGTTAAATGTAGAAAAAATGAAAAAAATTCGGAACTCTACTTCTGAACAAGTAGTTTATTTTCGGAATACTACTTCCGAACTAATTGTTTATTTTCGAAACTCTACTTCCAAACCAATTATTTATTGAAAAAGATGTGTGGGGATATATTTTTGGATACCAACACGTGGCATGGCGACGCCGACGTGTTGGCCGAAGTGCCACGTGTCGTGGAAGTTACGTCGAGGTAATCTCGGAGTTGCCGAGGTTATCTCCGAAGATATCGGAATCCGAGATAAGAAGATAAGGGACATGAGTCCTAGGACAACGAGGAGACTTAGCCAAGATAAGGATAAAGCTCTTAGGGAGTTTATCTTTATCTCTTGAAGAATCCAAAGTCAGTATTGAATTGAAGTCCATAGAAGTCAGGCTTCTAGTGGGACTAGGATTGAGTAAACTATAAAAGAGAGGCACCCCCATGGGTCTAAGGTACGCTGTTTTATATTCAAGCTTGTGAGTTTAGCACTTGATTATCTTTGAGAGATATACTGACTTGATCGTCGGAGTGCCCCCGGGTGGAAGAGCCACCGCCGGAGCCCTTTCTTTCTGTTACAGGTTACTGAAGCCATCTATTCTGCCGGTGCTCTCCAGCTGATTACTAGGCGGGCAGTGTGGTCGAAAAATCACCCACACAATTTGGCGCCGTCTGTGGGAATCTTAGAAGAATAGATGGCCAGTGACGGACAAGGGGGAAACATTGGGGGCGAAACTCCTGCTGGAAGTGGCAGACCAATTGACCTTGATATTGAAGGAGACAACCATAATGCAGGAATTCATGACCAAGGCCACGTCGAGAAAGACGTCGGCCAAGAAGGCAACACTTCAAAGAAAACAGACCAAGACCAGTACTATAACGAAGATAACCTTCAGGTATGGAGGGATAGATGCCTACAGAGGGATGAGGAAGTAAAAGACTTGGCAAACAAGTTGGCGGACCTACAATCGGTCGTCAACTTCATGATGCAAAATAATGTTATGCAGCCACCATACCCGCTACAAGATACGCCAATGCCAGCGATTAATACCTAGAAGGGAGGAAGAAAAGCAATCCCCGAAGCCCCTCAGCACACCAGAAGTGGAAACCACTCTCACCGACCTTCCAGGGAAGTCGGACGAGAGGAACCAAGGCAAGGAGAGTCCCAAAGGACACATCGCATGAAGGATCCAGGGCCCAAAGAACATCGTCATGTTCAAGGGCAAGCACTCTGCTTTGACACAACCCATGGAGAAAGATCGAAACGGGCCCACCACGAGGCCGAAAGTAGTGTGCCAAAAAGATTGAAGTCCAGAGATAGCTGAGCTCCAGGTAGGAGTAAGGAAAACTTGAGGGACTACTTCAAAAAGAGACAGCAGAATGCTGAAACCGAGGTGACTTCCAAAGTTAAGCCGAGAACACCATTCTCTGTGGAACTTGACAAATTTGAAGCACCAAAGAGATTTAGTATGCCGAGGTTCCAAATTTATGATGGTAAGTCAGACCCTAACTTTCATGTTGGACTATACCTGAACTCAATGGCATTATACAGTGGGAACGAGCCATTGCTCTGCAAAGTATTTCCCTCATCCTTTGGGGAAATTGCATCCGATTGGTTCCATAAGCTACCAAAGGGAAGCGTGAAGACATGGGAAGGCCTGGCTGAGATGTTTGTGGCCAGGTTTGTAACAAACAAACTACAACCCTTGAGGGTCGACGCCCTGATGGCTTTAAGAATCACTAAGGAAGAAGGCCTTAGGGCCTACGCGAAGAGATACTACGAGGTGTTCAATCGAATACCCGAATGCAACCAAGAAGTGGCGGTCGTATCTTTCAAGAACGGCCAAAAAGATGACTGCCCACTACGGAAGTCTTTGGCAAAAACACTGCCAAAAAGCATGGAAGAACTCATGGCAAGAATTGAGAAATACGCCAGAGCTGAGGAAGATACATCGGGAAAAAAAGAGATAAAGCAAGAGAAAGCAAACGGCTCGCCGAAGCGAGGCCGAGGTAACAACGGACCACCTAAACAAGAAACGGAATTGAAGGGCAAACAGGCAGTGACGTGGATATGTGATGCAGCACCAAGCTTATCAATTACGTGATTCAGGCGAAGCAATACTTTGAGTATGAGGATGTAAATGGAACAGTGAACGAAATCTGGCGTCAAGTCTCTCTAAAGGTACCCCTTATCAAACTGATGATTAATCGTGACAGACGTCTTGTGAAGAGGGACTTGCCAGAACCAGACTGCTCTTGCCTCTGTTCGAACCAATCAGGGATCCACACCACACTAGATGCTGCTTTTGTGAATTCTTTAATGATAATGGAAATTTCAAGATATCTCAATTCCCCGTGGAAATTATAATGCCGCTTGTCATATGTCATCATCAGAAAAGATGAGAAAAGAGGGAGGGAAAGAAAAAAAAAGCCCTTCCCTTTGATCACATAGAATCTACTATTTATTGTTAAGCTAGAGATATGTTGTCAAGCCCTGCAGCCTTCGTTTTTTCATTCATTCTCTGGAGACATGGGCATAGTGAAATTCGCCATGGAATAAATATTTGGCACACATTTCGGTTGTTGTCTACCCCACTCCCCTACCCTAAGCCCCAAAATGTATTTTTGTATATTGAGATTGACAATAGAAGTGGATATATCTGGTTTCTTCTTGTAACTATAGTTGCATGTGCATGGCAGTGTAAGAGATGAGAGTTAATTCATATAATTTTGGCAATAAAATACAATGTTCAATACTACACATATTTAGTTCTTTTTTAGAGGATAGTGACGTTTCCAGAAAACATGCTCTAACTAGCTCAGGATGCCTATTTTGATTTACTTGGGATGCTTTGTATGTTTGATGTTTATTTAATTCCTGATGTTCTTGTATTCTTTTCAACTGAACTCTATTAAAGGCATCCTGAAGTTTGAGTCGAGTTGCATGCACCTGCACCACTGGGCTGTAGTCCTAGGTTGGTGTCCTGAACAGGATCCGCTGCTTTACTTTTGCTGCTTGAATGCCACTGCTATATTGTTTAGATTTATGACATAATTTCACATATTCTGATGACGTCAAATGTACATAAAATGAAAAATAAAGGAGGAAAAAAGAACCAAGGAAAAAAATAAATTGAGATGCAAGTACAATGCCACATGATTTACTAGTTGTCCACATAAGCACCAGAAAATACATCCATTCCTGTTATTTGAGAGAGGTTGTTTGGGAGAATGAGACGGAAGAGTGGTACAGAAGAACCTTAGTCAAAGATAACACCTTGGAGGGGATTGGAAACTAAGAGAACATGAGTCAAAAAAGGTAAAAAGAATTCCAGGCATCCAAATCTAATCTCACTAACCAGGAGGCCATTTCATCTGTCTCCCACCAAGTACATGCAAGTGAAGATGGTAAACTGATTGACCTGGAGAGAGATAGAGAGAGAGAGAGAGAGTGTGTCAACAGGCTTTTGCATTGAGGAAGCAATTGCTGAGAAAGCACAAGAAATATTGGATCTTTTCTCTTCTTTTTTTTTTTTTCTTTTTTTTTGTGGAGAAGTAAAGGGAGAATTTTACAAGTGGTTGGGTTGTAAGTGAGAAGGAGTTTCAAATTTTCTCCAATTTCTTGGCAACAAAACAGGGAACAAAATTTACAAAAGAAAAAGAAAGAAATTGAAAGATACGAGATTATAAGTAACTTACATGCAGTTGGACCATTGTTGATAACAACTCGGAATCCATCGAGAATACCTTCTTTTGCTGCCACTATTTTTGCAGCATACAGTAGTTCGCCCAAAATTTCACGTTGTCTTGCTTCAACCTAACAAAGCAACAAAGTAATCAAGTAAAAGATCGACTTATCATGAAAAAGAGGAATCAAAAAAATGTGTTTTCACTTGTTTCCATACCTAGTATAAATCCCTTCCCTCCTTCCTTCCTCCACCCCTCTGGCCCTCTAGTAACTCACCTAACATGTTATCTTGTTTATTTTTAGAACCATGTGTTTTTTTAACAAAAAAATGTTTCTTGTAAACAAAAAACAAGAAACTGGTAACACTACTTTAATATGAAGTCTCAACTTATCCCCGAGAAGCATATCAGCAGAATAACTGTCATCAATAGTGGAGTCACCTTGTCCATATGGCCAAACATACATAAGGCATACAAAAAGTGAGCATAATCCTTTTGATTATCAGCTCAGCTAAACAGGTGAAAGCCAAAAATAAAAAGAAAAATTACCTTGCCAAGCTGTGTTAATCCATTCCTATGCTTCGGAATGACTAAAACATGAACAGGAGCTTGTGGGTTGATATCCCGAAATGCCAAGACCTTGTCATCCTCATAAACTATATTGGAAGGGATCTCCTTAGCTATGATCTTGTCAAATCTAACATTGAAAAAAAGAGAGCATAAATTAAACAAACAAACATACTTTAGATACAGTCAAATATTAGAACTCCTCTCTCTCTCTCTCTCTCTCTCTCTCTCTCACACACACACACACACATGTGCACAAACACAACTTTTCAGCAAAAGCCAAAAAAAATTTACCCGTGTTTCAAGCCAACAAGAAAAAAAAGAAAAAACAATCCAGTTGTCTTGTACATCAATCTATTCCAAAAGCCAGCAAGGACTTTCTCTTGAACTTCTTTTCTAAGTTGTTTAAATTTTGTGGCTCCAAAGAGTGTATTATGCCTCTTTTAGAATTTAAGGTTTGATCAAGCTATATTATTTTTCAAATTCAATCCTAATATCCACAAAGTTACCAACAATTTCATCAAACATTTACAACTTTGCAAAGCTCAGATAATTGTTTCCAATTTGATTATGATATAAAAAAAATAAATGCCATGACAATACGAGCGAGCATCCAAGAAGCAATAATACATGGTTGGAGCTCCAGTGTCAGCACTGGCTGCAGCTTCTCTTGCAGAGGCCTCTTCATCATTTGTAGCACTAACACAATAGGTGGCTCTGCCAAATAAAAAAATAAAATCAACAAAAACTACATAAATCGATGCAAGTTCTTATACAAGTGAGGTAAAATAGGGGATTTGTATGGTAAAGATATAGCAATGACATAGACATAGTTACCAGCACATAAAATAAAAAAATAAATAAATAAATAAAAAACACTTAATGTCAGTATAATTATGTGCAAAGCAATTGTGAATTAGTTGATTAGTGGTGTGTGCTGATAATTAGCTGGTACCAAGTTCAACATGCGGTTTCATAATTAGTGGAAATTCATTCTTAGGTCAATTGGAATGACTGAGAGGAGGGTTTAGTTAATGGATGAAGTGAAATCTCAAGTTGAACATTCAATTTTATCCCAAAATTGAAATCTACTTAATTATTTATACAATGATGAAATCTCAAGTTGAATCTGCAATTTATTTCATGGTGAAGTTGAAAACTGCCATTTCACTGTGTAATGAAATTGAAAATTTGGTATTTGGCTAACTCACTACAAAATTACAACTTGAAGATGTGACTACAGATGAAATCAAGATTTGAAGTTGCTATAATTTGTTAAGTAGTTTTACAAAAATGCATAATTTTCAATAAATAGTACTTTACAAAACAATATTCAACCAAAAGAGTACGTCAATGTTGAGGAGATACCACAGACAGCTAATCAGAGCACAAGGACTTGACAAACGACTGGGTTGTATTCGAAATCAACAATGGATCACATACATACATACATAGATAATACATATACAATGGATTGAAATGTACGTATAATATATACCTGCGAAATTGGAGAGGAATATGAAAAGGCCGCGGAGTATGAGGTCTGATTGTGGCCAAAGTTCTTACAATTCCGGAAGTCCTGTTTCCAACAACAAAACCCAATTCAATTCTACACACAAAATTCAATATATATACATATTTATATATATATATATATATAGATCCCCCTTTGCCATGGCTTATGGCACAGAAGCAGTCATCCCATTAGAGATCGGCATCCCAGGGATCAGGACCCAGGGAGTAGAGAATGGCACCAATGACATACTCTTAGCCCGAGATCTGGATCTTCTGGAAGAACAAAGAGAAAAAGCTGCAATTCAACTAGCAGTATACTAGCAATAGCTTGCTAGAACTTACAACAAAAAGGTCAATCCAAGACATTTTCAAGTCGGCGACCTAGTCTTGAGAAAAGTCGTCGGCAACAAAAAGGATCCCAGAGAGGGCAAGCTTGACCCAAACTGGGAAGGACCCTATAGAATTACTTCGGTATTAGGCAATGGAGCTTATCGACTTGAAGATAACGAGGGCAAAGCACTACCAAGACCTTGGAACACTTGTAATTTGAAATTCTTCTATCATTAGATGTGTAGTATTTTTTGCCGATGTCTTTAATAAAGTTTTTTCAAGAATTCTTTCAACACATATGACCGATAAAATTACATACTGATGATTTCTGGAGACATGAATAATGAGAACCCAAGAAGAACTCAGGTTCACATTAGGGGCAGAAAGAAGAAGAATGCGTTTACCACTTGTTAAAATTTGTAGCAATTTATAAGTTGGTTAAACCAAGATAATGTTTAAAATTGAAATTAGACCGGGATGATGCTTAACCGAAGTTAAGCCAAGATGATTCCTTGTCTTCACTTATTGAAAGTTGTAGCAATTTACAAGTTGGAGTCAAGCTGATTCCTTGTCTTCACTTGTTGAAATTTGTAGCAATTTACAAGTTGGAGTCAAGCTGATCCCTTAATTCACTTGTTGAAATTTGTAGCAATTTACAAGTTGGAATTAAGCCGATTCCTTGTCTTCACTTGTTGAAATTTGTAGCAATTTACAAGTTGGAGTCAAGCTGATCCCTTAATTCACTTGTTGAAATTTGTAGCAATTTACAAGTTGGAATTAAGTTGATTCCTTATCTTCACTTGTTGAAATTTGTAGCAATTTACAAGTTGAAGATAAGCCGAGATTACTGTTTCTCTTCACTTGTTGAAATTCGCAGCAATTTACAAATCGAAGTAAAGCCGAGGTTATAGCTTGCAACTTATAGCAATCTACAAGTTGATCCAACCAAAGAAGATGCTTAAAACTTGTTGAAATTTGTAGCAATTTACAAGATAATGTTAAGTCGGCATGTGATCATCCGTTGAAATTTACAGCAATTTGCAGATTGAAGTAAAAGCTAAGTATATTGTTCAAACACTTGTTGAAATTTGCAGCAATTTACAAGTAGACCATTATTTAACACTTGTTATAACTTGCGAACAGTTTATTTACAGTATATGCTAACACTTGTTGAAATTTGTAGCAATTTACAAGTAGGTTAGACCGAGATCACTGTTTACATACTTGTTGAAACTTAACAAGAAATTTGCAGAGTTAATATTGAATAGTATATGTTAAACACATGTTGGGATTTATCAAGAGCTTTCAGGTCTGTATCTTGCCGAAGTAAAGTTGGATGATTGATGTACCCGAGGTGTGTAACCCCGAGGAGATTGCACAAAGGTGGCAAAATATAGAAGGCATACAACCATACAGAAGCAAATCAAAGAGGAATTAAAAGATTGAAGCATCCATAAAAAAAAAAAAACCAGTTATATATAAAGGAAGGCACATCGGCCATAAAAGGAAGTTTACATTGTTCAGAAAACAAAACAGAGTATAAAAAGGCAAGGAAATAAAGACATTCAAATCAGGATTCTTCAGCATTAACAGCTAGGGGCGCTGGGACCTCGGAAGATTCTGGTGGAACCTCCTCGGAAATCTTTTCTGCTTCAATCTCGGCGTCAATCTCTGCAAGAGTTTCATCAAGACTTTTTTCGGCTGGAGGAACGTCGGA